AAGAAGAAAGAAATAACAATGATGGTGATGATGTTTACGATGCTCCGGAAGTACAAGATAGACAACCAAACAAAAAGGTTGCAACGCCCGTGAACCAAAAAGGGGATTTTTTTTGGGCATGTGTGTCGATCGACACGGAGTAAAATCAGACCGACGGTTTCGGTTTCTGATTTGCCGGTTTGGGGAACGGTTTAGGAAACCCTAGGGTTTCATTATAAAAGCGTGGGGAACGCGTTTTCTCTTTTCTTTTGGCTGAAATCAGAAGAGGTTGAGAGAGGAAAGAGAGTGTTTATGTGAGGATTGTGAGAGAAGTGATTTCCTGGAGAGAAAATCAATTATGCTCGGATTTTGGAAGAGACGATTGGATCAGAGTGAAACTTTGAAGGTAAGTTCTCCACTCTCTAATCTTGATTCAGGAGGAAACAGTTTGTAAATCGGATGTGTATTCTGAGAGTTATCGCTCTTTTTCCGAGAGAGGTTTCTGCAGTTTCGTGTCTACGATCAGTCCGCTTCGAGGGAGGATTCCCGTCGAACCAGAAAGAATCAGGAAAAGATCTATATGCCGTTGGAAATATCTCTCTATCTAGTTTCTAAATCAGGTTTCTGATCTTGATTCTGAGGTATTATTTGTTCTTGGTGTGCTTTCAAAGTCAGTGTGTCATTCCTATCTTCTGAAATCCTAATTCGGTTTAGGTGATTTTTTGGAGGAGAGGAACAGGTAGGAAAATCAGGTCGGATCGGGGTGAAACTTTGTGGGTAAGTTCTCCAATCATTTTTATTGATGTGGGTGAAAACCTTTTGTCAGTGGGTTGAGTATTTAGGGAGTTATGATTGTTTTAACTGGGTAGATTTCTGTAATTTTCTGCTGCGATCAGTCCACTTAGAGGAAGGATTCCCGTCGAACCAGAAAGACTCTGGAGACGATCCTCATACCGACGTGTACCTTGTTCTGTCTAGTTTTCAGAACCGTTTTCCGTTTTGGATGTAGATAACCCGTCGTTGTGTGCGGGGCGTTCTTGTAGGCGTCGTGTTCTTCATCTTTTCAGTCTTTTCGAT